GCTGATAAAAACATCACAATAATCCACAAGTAATCCACACCACTCCAGTCCATCAATTAATGTTTGGTGAAGAGAAAAGCTGTGTGTTTGTAAGAGACAAATCCATCAAGACGTTTTTAACTTCAAACTGTTGCTTCTGGCTAAAATACGAGTCTTCCTTTAGTGAAGAAGTTGTCTAGTCTGAATCAAGGGAGAAAATAAGCACGGATCAAGCACTGTTTACAAGCAAAAACAGATATTTGGGTGGATTTTGATGTGAGAGATGATAGGAGATGCCTTTGCAAGTCATTAACTGATGGACTGGAGTGGTGTGGGTTACTTGTGGATTATTGTGATGTTTTTATCAGCTGTTTGGACTCTCATTCTGACGGCACCCATTCACTGCAGAGCATCCATTGGTGAACAAGTGATGCAATGCTACATTTCTCCAAATCTGATGAAGAAACAAACTCATCTACATCTTGGATGACCTGAGGGTGAGTAAAGTTTTAGCAAATTTTCATTTTAGGTGAACTATTCCTTTAAAATTTGTGCTTTAAAGATAAATATCATGTTCTTACACCATTCCATGTCCAGCATATATCTTCAATAGTGTTTTAAAAGCATCCCAAAATGAAGATGGCTTATGATGTGTGTGTTTGGTTTCGGTTTTAGTGTATTAAAATATATATCTTACAATAAATGCATTTGACACTTTTAAAAAAGTAGCCTAATAACCTACATTTTCTTGGTGCAGATATAAATACTAATTCAATTTACAGTTATGTGGAAGACACTTTTAGCCAAAGCAACTTTCAGTGCATTTAAGGTAGCCATACATTTAAGAATAAATGACAATTAATTGCATTTAAAAGTACATAGTAAAAATTATTGATATAAATGCACATACATTATTCATTTAAATATCTGACATGATAGATACAAGTACAAACTCTCTCGCTCTGATTGAGTGTTTGTGGATGTACATTTGAATATATTTGAATGTGTTTGTGATTTGCCTTCTGCTCTCAAACACATGCATATGAGACTCAAGCATCCAGTGAGTTTTTCTTCTTTTATTTTTTTCTTGTAATGTGATACAGGGTGTTTGTTGTCTGCAGTCTTCCTTCCCGGAGGAAATCTTTCCTCAAATGCACCACGCGGTGACGGTCATCGCTCTGATCTCATGTGACTGACAGCAGAGGCCGCTGAGAGTTTCATCATTTGGCTGCAAGTTCTGCAGCATTGAAGCAAACGATTGAGCTTATGTTATGCAGTTCTCGTCAAACTGTTCTTTGATCTACATCTTCATCATCTACATCATCAACTGTTTCACAGGAGCTGCTGAAACAGTTCTACTCATTCATTCATTATTGAATCTGTCCTCTGCACTTCTATAACTGTCTGGTTCAGCTCAGCTACCAAATCTGACCTCAGAAGACTACAGAGGGTAGTCCGGACTGCTGAGCGAATCATTGGTACAACCCTCCCTTCTCTCCAAGAACTGTACTCATCCAGAGTGAGCAAAAGGGCTGGCAAAATCACTCTGGACCCCTCACATCCAGCACACTCCCTCTTTGAACTGTTGCCATCTGGTCGACGCTACAGAGCTCTGAGCACCAGAACGACCAGACACAGGAACAGTTTCTTCCCTCAGGCAGTCCATCTCATGAACACTTTACAATAACTGTGGAACACACACTCATACACTTATTTATCTAACACACATACTCAGTCTACATTTCAATTTGCACATAATATACCTGTACATACAACTGTCTATTGTTATATACCTGTACATACAATTGTCGATTTGTATATTTTATTCCTTATTTACTTGTCCTATTTTTTATTTATTTTTATTTTGTTATTATCTGTGTTTTTTGTTCTGTCACTGTCATTCTGTTACACTGTGGAAGCTTCCGTCACGAAAACAAATTCCTTGTATGTGTAAACATACCTGGCAATAAAGCTCATTCTGATTCTGATTCTGATTCTGATTCTGATTCTGATGATCCTAGACATAAGATGGTTCTTTAGTTTAAGCATTTTGACTGTATGGTGTACTTGAGTTGATATGGTTCAGCTTCTTTGGAAATTCACAACTATAGCAACAATATAGCGATATATATTGTGACACGCTGTCCATTTCTGATGAATTGTTAGGCCTGTTATGAGTATAAATATTTGAGCTGGTCTGCAGGTATCGAGTATCATCTGGCAACAAAGGTTACAGTATTGGGTTACTAACAGATGCTCATACACTACTGCTCTTAGACTAATGTCTCCGTTCCTCGTGTCAGTGTTCTGATCATCTCTGTCAGGTTGTATTTTGAGATAATGACTGCCTGACTGTACATTATCTCTTACAACATAAAAAAAATAATAATGTGATATATAAATCTTCATAAAAATGGAAATAAAATACAAAAAAAGTAAAACAAAAATGCTACATAGCCACATACACAGTAAATTAAATACTAAATAGAATAAAAATAAATCTAAAATAAAATGTTAGATATAAAATATAAAATAAATGAATTGTCTCTTTGATTAATTGTGTATATATAGTTTATATATCAGTGTTTATTTTGAGATTATGGCCGGTTGACTGTACATTATGTCCTACTTGTGGTACAACATAAAATATACAATTCATTTATTCATAAATTATTACATTTAGATATTCATAAAAAACAAGTCCAAAAAAAAAAAAAATAAAAAAAAAAAAAATAAAAGGAA